TAATTTTTTTCTGTTACAATCTATGTTAATGTTCAATGTTAAATTATTTCGTGTAAGTTTTATCTTTTTTATTTCTTTAAACAAATCAAATTGAAAATTTTAAAATTCTGATAAGATTTTCATTTAATATCGTTGAATTGTAAAGTACATTTATCTAATCCAGTTGAATATATTATATATATATATATATTTATTTATTTATTTTTGCTAATTTAGGCATTTCAAACTAAAAAATTACAGATTGTCATGTTTACATCTATCTATATATAATACAAGGCTTTTATTATTAAATTTTTAAAAATAAACAAATTTCCTTGCTTAATTAAAATGCTAAAAGAGGAATAATTTATTAACCAATAATAAAATAGTAAACTGAGTTGTTAAACTTAAAACTTAAAACTCCCACTTTAAAGGGCAAGAGGACTATAATCAAGTGGTTAAAAACAATTATTCCTAAGAACAACATTCCAACTAATGGATTAGATTTGACAATAAGAATCTTGTATTCCCTTACTAAGAACAACCATCCAATTTAATGTCAATTTGGATTGGATCCTAACCTCTGATCTGATTGGACTAGATAATATGAGCCTGAATTGACCATGACCACATACCCAAACAGTAATATATGCTCAACAAGCAAATTCAAAATTTCAAGTAGAAAATTTAAGTGTAAACTTGAGTATAAATAAATCCAACTAGTCGCATGATATAGCACAAAGAACATATAATAATATTCAGACCCAAAAAAAAAAAACATATAATAATAAATAAATTAAGTGTAAATTTTTTGGAAATATTTAGTCATATACTCATTTTTAGCACTAAAACTATAAATAAACGATACACCATTTAATTTCTACCCAAAAAAAAAATCTCAAAAAATGACAGTTGGTCCTATTGAATTTAATTTTGATGCTTAAATTACTTTGATGCCCCATTGAGTGTTTTGGGCCTTTTTATGAGGTTTTGGAGTTGAGTTTGTTTAAAGAAATCAATGACAGTTTTGTAATTTAAAAGAAGTTAAAAGTCTTTTTGTTATATTGTAAATGAGCTTTAGGTGTGTTTCTAAAATCTATTTCATATAGAGTTTTTTATTTATTTATAATTTGGACTCTTATATTGGGTATTATAGTAAATCTCCCAATTTTTTTAGCCTTTAGATAGTATTTTAATGATGTGGCAAGCTTTAAAATGAAAGAAGTAGATACAAATTTAGAAAAATCAAGCAGTCAGTCCTCCTTCCTTTTGCATCCGAGCAGTTGGGATCAACGGCTAAGATGATACTAGTTTGGAGAATCATTTCGAACGACTAAGATTTGTATTGTCACACTAAACGACAAGAAACCCAATGAGCCCAACAAGGATATACGTCACTTTGGTCTAGAGCCGTTGAATAGAAAGTGTTCGGTTAAGTTTTAGGGTTGTACTTTCTATTCCTATAAATAGATGTTCTTTTCCCCCGATATAAATAGATACTTGGTCAGATAGCTTTAAAACTATAAGGAACACCAAAGTAGAGAGTCTTGTTTCATGTTTTAGGTAGAGAGGAGGCCCTTTTGCATATCTGCCCTCTTCAAATCTCACCAGAAGCTATTCTTTTCAATTGCGATGAGAAGCTTCAATTTTCGCGAATTCCTATTATACCGCGCTAGAGGTGACATGACAAATTCCGTTTCAAGCTTGGCTATGCAGAATTCAGATCCGCCGAGGATAAGCTTCAATTTTTTCCAATTCCTATTATAAGTGGATCTGCTCTTTATTTATTTGTTTTTTTTTTTTTTTTTGCTTTGTTATGTACTCTTTTTTATTTTATTTTATATTTTGCAAATTCAGATTCGAGGAGAATTCTCATCAAGACATGGATAGTTTCAATTGCTATGAGAAGCTTCAATTTTTTTTCAATTTTTGCCAATTTTTATCATATCATATGCTCCCCGTTGCAGCAAACAAGATAAAAGAAAAGTTTCAATTTTGGCCTATGCAGAAATGTTTTTGCTTTGTGTTTTTTTGTTGATCAAATTGTTTTTGCTTTGTTATGTACTTGTTTATATATATATGAATTTGTTGTTATTATTATTTTTTCCAATTCAGATTCGAGTAGAATTCCCATCAAGATATGGAAAGCTTCAATTTTTCAATTTTCCCCCTGAATTAGATTTTTCTTCTCAAGGCATGGAACGCTTTAAGTTGGGCCAGGAATGTATTCATTGGCTGGGCTGGAATGCGTTGGAAGAAGCCAGTATAGTAAATATACTAAATCATGGTTTTAACAGGCTCATTCGTACCAGATCAAAATTTATACTCCCATCAAGACATGAAAAGCTTCAATTTTTCAATTTCCCCCTTTTTCATATTTGTTTTCTAACTTAGATTTTTCTTCTCAAGCCATAAAAGGCTTTAAATCCATTAAATCATGGTTTTAACCTGCCCATTCGTATTGAGTTTGACTAAACCATCTCTTCCTTCAATCACTATCTCACTCTGTCTAAACCCTAAAATATGATGAGCTAGCGCCTAAAACCTCTCTTCCTCTTTCTCTTCTGTTGCTGGCGGCTACATTCTGTTCCTCTTTCTCCATCACGTCCATCTCAGTCATCACCATTTCATCTTGCTGGATAAGTAATTTCTTATTATTTTTCTTTTGAAAAATTGGTTTGTGTTAAAAATATACTTTTGGAAAGCACATCCTTCATATTTTTCTTTTTGGAAAGCATATTCTTGAATTCCTTGATGTTAATCTATTTCTATGCATCTTGCCCAGTTAAAATGTACATTTTCATTTAGCTTAAGCCTGGATGGCTTTGTGTAGCATATAGGTAATATAGGCAATCCTTGATGAATTCATTTGACGTTTTTCTTTTAAGAAAGCAAAACATTTCCTTAATGAACTTTAATCATCTAAATTTCTGTCTTGTTCTTTCTGCTTTGATTTAAGCATCCATATCTTTCTAGTTTGAGTCCAAACAAACTGCATACAGCAAGCAATATTGCACATGCGCAACTTTTATAATTGGAATTCCATTGACAGGAAAATGCAAGGAACAACAAATATTCACGTTTTTCTATAAAGGTGGAATCTTTTTGGTATCAGAAACGCGATCTGAAAGTGGATTGAGCTTTGCTCATAACGACTACAACTCGAAGATTGTGCGCTTGAATGACCATTTGTTTGTGAACAAGTATGGACAGAAAGCGGGAGCTGTCAATTCCTTTGTAGCTGAAATTTGTCATGTGGCACCTAATACTTTGCATACACCTGAATCGCTTGCCAATGAAGCGTACAAGTTTCTGGAACAACGAAAATTAGCCATGTTGTTACTCTTATTGTCGGCTAGAGTGGAAGGGTACCAGAAATTTATAAAGTTCAATGGAGACCAGGAGTTCAATTTCCAGATCGTAATGGAGCTGAAATAATAGAATCGCAATTGGTTTCAGAGCTCCTTATGCTCTCGCAACTTTGGAACGTGTGTATGAACCTGACATGCCCCGTGAAGCAAGCAATAACTTAGTTTAAGATGCTATAATCCATGCTTCATTATGTGATCATCTGTCTGGGGGTGGGATGAATCTATATTTTATTACTGAAAATGGATATACTACATAAAGTAGTAGTGTGTTGAATATCTACCTAAAAAGATATGAAATTCAACAACATGACGACAACTGTGCACTATTGTTTGTTGTTCCATCACCCCGTTGGGGTGCTTGGTGATTTTTTTGCATAAATGTTTTTGTTTTGTGTTTTTTTGTTGGTCAAATTGTTTTTTCTTTGTTATGTACCTGTTTATATATATATATGAATTTGTTGTTATTATTATTTTTTCCAATTCAGATCCGAGTACAATTCCTATCAAGGTATGGAAAGCTTCAATTTTCCCCCAAAATTAGATTTTTCTTCTCAAGGCATGGAACGCTCTAAGTTGGGCCAGGAATGTATTCATTGGCTGGGCTGGAATGCGCTAGATGAAGCCAGTATAGTAAATATACTAAATCATGGTTTTAACTGGCCCATTCGTAACAGGTCAAAATTTATACTCCTATCAAGACATGAAAAGCTTCAATTTTTCAATTTCCCCCTTTTTCATATTTGTTTTCTAACGTAGATTTTTCTTCTCAAGCCATAGAAGGCTTTAAATATATTAAATCATGGTGTTAACTGGCCCATTCGTACCAGGTTTAACTAAAACATCTCTTCCTTCATTCACTATCACACTCTGTCTAAACCCTAAAATATGAGGAGCTAGCGCTTAAAACCTCTCTTCCTCTTTCTCTTATGTTGCTGACAATTACATTCTGTTCCTTTTTCTCCATCGCGTCCATCTCAGCCATCACTATTTAATCTTGCTGGGTAAGTAATTTCTTATTATTTTTCTTTTGAAACAATGGTTTGTGTTAGAAATATATTTTTCGAATGCACATCCTTGATGTTTTTCTTTTTGGAAAGCATATTCTTGAATTCCTTGATGTGAATATGTTTCTATGCATCTTGCCCAGTTAAAATGTACATTTCCATTTAGCTTAAGCCTGGATGGCTTTGTGCAGCATGTAGGTTATATAGGCATATTCTTGATGAATTCCTTTGATGTTTTTCTTTTAGGAAATCAAAGCATTTCCTTGATGAACTTTAACAATTTGAATTTCTGTCTTTTTCTCTCTGGTTTGATTTAAGTATCCAAATTTTAAGATTCCAAAATCCAAAAATCTGTTTCTATGTATCTTGCCTAGTTAAAATGTACATTTACATTTAGCTTAAGCCTATATGGCTTTGTGTAGCATATAGGTAATATAGGCATATCCTTGATGAATTCCTTTGATGTTTTTCTTTTAGGAAAGCAAAGCATTTCCTTGATGAACTTTGACCATCTAAATTTCTGCCTTGTTCTTTCCGCTTTGATTTAAGCATCCATATCTTTCTGGTTTGAGTCCAAACAAATTGAATACAGCAAGCAATATAGAACATGCGTCACTTTGATAATTAAAATTCTATTGACAGGAAAATGCAAGGAATAACAAATATCACGTTTTTCTATAAAGGTGGAATCCTTTTGGGATCGGAAACGCGATCTAGAAATGGATCGAGCTTTGCTCGCAACGACTACAACACGAAGATTGTGCGCTTGAATGACCATTTGTTTGTGACCAAGTGTGGACAAAAAGTGGGAGCTGTCAATTCCTCGGTAGCTAAAATTTGTCATGTGACACCTAATACTTTGCATATACCTGAATCGCTTGCCAATGAAGCATACAAGTTTCTGGAACAACGGAAAATTGGCCATGTTGTTACTCTTATTGTCGGCTATAGTGGAGGGGTACCAGAAATTTATAAAGTTCAATGGAAACCAGGAGTTCAATTTCCAGATCGTAATGGAGCTGAAATAATAGAAATTTTTTTCGTAATTGGTTCCGGAGCTCCTTATGCTCTTGCAACTTTGGAACGTGTGTATGTACCTGACATTCCCCGTGAAGCAAGCAAGAACTTAGGTTAAGATGCTATAATTCATGCTTCATTATGTAATCATCTGTCTTGGGGTGAGATGGATCTATATTTTATTACTGAAAATGGATATACTACAGAAAGTAGTAGGGTGTTGAATACCTACCTAAAAAGATATGAAATCCATCAACATGACGACAGCTGTGCGCTATTGTTTGCTGTTCCATCACCCGTTAGGGTGCTTGGTGATTTTTTTGTATAAATGTTTTTGCTTTGTGTTTTTTTGTTGGTCAAATTATTTTTGCTTTGTTATGTACCTGTTTGTATATATATGAATTTGTTGTTATTATTATTTTTTCCAATTCAGATCCGAGTACAATTCCTATCAAGGTATGGAAAGCTTCAATTTTCCCCCAAAATTAGATTTTTCTTCTCAAGGCACGGAACGCTCTAAGTTGGGCCAGGAATGTATTCATTGGCTGGGCTGGAATGCGCTGGATGAAGCCAGTTGTAGGGGCTTTTTTCTTCCGGCAGCTACTACGGGCCTGACTGCCGTAAAGGGCAAAATGGAAGAAATTGCCCCTTGAGCCTGAGTTCGAAAATTAAGCCCCAAAATACCTCGAAAAGGCAGTAGAGCCTTAGGAAGTATTTTGGTTATCTTCACCAACGAGAATAATGGTAACTTGCAGATAGTTTTGGCATGCTTACAGATAGTCTTTTCAGCTCAGCATGAGTGGCATGTGGCATGGGAGCAAAATCAACATGGGTTTAGCACTAAGAGAGAAATTAGGCTTGGTTTATGAGAAAAGAAAGTGTTTAAGTAAGGAATGAGGTGTTTTGTGAGGAATTCGACTAGGGAAAAAGGAAAAAGAAAGGCAGAGTTCTTCTGGCAGCTGCCAGAAAAACAAATTGGAGAAGAAGATGAACAGTGCACGAGTCTGAGTTTTGCAAGATAGAGAGAAAAGCTTGCTCTCTGCAGGTTATGAGTTGAGTTTGTTGGGTAGGGGAAGGCTCAATTTATAGCTGCCGGAAATCACCATTTTTCAAGAAACCCTAATGGCTTCTACTTACTTTGGCTAAGCTTTTCT